ACGAAATGATAACGACAATGCAGAATCAAGGCGTCATCGAACCGTCATCAAGTCCCTGGATTTCGCCAGTTGTTTTGGTAAAGAAGAAGGACGGCACTACCCGTTTTTGCGTTGATTATAGGAAGTTAAATGATGTGACTAAAAAGGACAGCTATCCGTTACCGAGGATTGATGACATCATGGACACCCTATCTGGCTCAAGTTGGTTCTCTACGCTTGATTTGAAAAGCGGATACTGGCAAGTAGAAATCGACAAGAACGATCGCGAAAAGACAGCGTTTTCTATCGGATCGGGGTTGTGGCAATTCACCGTCATGCCATTTGGATTGTGCAATGCTCCAGCTACATTCGAGCGACTGATGGAATGTGTATTGCAAGGTCTTAACTGGAAAACCTGTCTTGTCTATTTAGACGACATAATTGTTCTAGGAAGAACATTTGATCAACACGTCGAAAACTTACGGGAGATCTTCACAAGACTTCGGGTGGCAAATTTAAAGCTGAACGTTAAAAAGTGCAGGTTATTTTCTAAAGAAGTTAACTATTTGGGACATGTGGTATCTTCAGATGGAGTTCGAACCGATCCCAGCAAGATAGAAATTGAGAAAGACTGGCCAACTCCAAAGGATAAAAATGAATTGCGCAGTTTTCTGGGATTGGCAACATACTATCGACGTTTTGTAAAGGATTTTGCAAAAGTTGCCAGACCTCTCCACCAACTTACCGAGAAGGACCGAGTTTTCAACTGGAATACCCTATGCGACTCAGCATTTGAAAAGTTAAAAGTTGAACTATGTGATGCTCCTTTGCTAGCATATCCAGTTCGTGGCAAGACGTTCGTGTTAGATACTGATGCAAGTAACAACGGAATCGGAGCCGTTTTGTCACAGCATATAGACGGAGAAGAAAAGGTGCTAGCGTATTATAGCAGAGGATTCACAAAACCCGAACGAAACTATTGTGTGACCAGGAAGGAGTTACTAGCAATAGTCAATGCAACAAAACACTTCCACAAGTACCTTTATGGACAGAAATTTCTTCTCCGAACTGATCATGCAGCGTTAAGATGGCTCCTCAACTTCAAGGATCTTGAAGGACAGATGGCCCGATGGTTGGAGCGTTTACAAATGTACGACTTCGAGATCGTGCACCGCAAAGGAACAACTCATAGTAATGCTGATGCTCTCTCACGTCGACCATGTTTACCAGGATGCAAATACTGCTGTCGTCACGAGGAGAAGATACAATCGGAAGACATAAGAGCAACAACTATAGCAGCGGATGACGGTTGGACACCGACGGATCTTGCTGATGCACAGTTTGCGGATGAGGACCTACAACATCTAATCACATGGAAGAAGGAGGGCAAGCGACCGGACTGGCAAAGCATCTCAGAATATAGTGC